GACCAAGCCTTGGATGACGTTGATGTCGTCGAGATATAGTAGCCTTCTACGAATTGTAAATCTCCTGTCAAAGTGATCAATTTCTTGAGGCTACGAATAAATAAAAGACCGATCACTATTAGTAAAAATCCGTTAGATATAGGCGGCTTCGCTGCAAATAAAACAGGGAAATTTAGTTTCAATTTTGAACGGATGAGTGTATTGCTTTGGGGTAAGGTTTGGGTTCGTTAGGAGGTAGCGGATTGCGATCCGCTACACTCATATACAGAACGTAAGGACGTTGACCATAGTAAGCTTTATTTAAAAAAAGAGCTAGGGCAGCCCCGCTACAGAGGCCAATCCACTTGCGCAAGTCCTTTTGGTTCTTTGGAACCGGCCAGTCACAATGGCCTTGACCTTAGCGGGATCCGCTCGAAGGCCACGCTTCCCGATCAAGCACCCTGAAAGGGGATTTTATCGGCGCCGAAGATGCATTGTTTGCATTTGCTTACAGATTATTCGTGCGCATGCACTCGTGCACCGCTTTCAATTGGACAATGTGGTTCTCTTCATCAGTCTTCCTGTGCTCCGAACGACTGTGGACGAAGATGTCGTCGAACAATGTCTGAGCAAACGCCTGGTAGGGCCTGAACATTTGCGTCACCAGACGGTTAAATGTTGCTGGAACATTAAACAGCCCTTGAATTATCATTAGCCACTCCCAGAGCATGCCGCTCGGAGTACTCACCGCTGTCTGCGGAATATCACTCGCTCTCATGAGCAATTAATAATACCCGTCAACCAAGTCGAGTGCACTGTACATTGTACATCCAACCATGTTGCTCTAGAGAACATCATTCCTACGATTTGGCGTCTATGCCAGAATGATGGCAGCGTTGAGCTTATTATAAGCGTGAACGATACGCCACTTACCGTTCTGCTTCCGGACACAAAACGTGGGTGTCGAATGGGGAGACTTGCTCTCACGCACCGTTCCTGCGACGTGCTTCGCACGGAGAAAGGTGTCAATGACGTCATACTGTTCCTTAGGCGGTAGCAATTGGAGTGTTGCGCAGTATTTAGATTCCGAAACCAGATCAATCTCGTGACGCACACCTCAGTCCGGAGGTAAGACCGAGGGAGGGTCTTTGGAGATGACGTCTTAAAAATCTTTTTCCAAAGGATAGTACGGATCCGAGTGATTCTTCAGGATTGGTGACCCACTTCTTGCGTTCAGCGCTCATTTGGTGTCCTTCTGGACAGCTTCATCCAGAAGCAACGATGAGGTAATATCTTCGTTCAGTCGTATAATGACCACCTCGGCTAAATCGCCTACCTTTAAGGCGCCGCCAAACTCTTCCGAAGTACATCTCGTCCAGCTCAAGAGGAACATCCAATGTGGAAATACTCTCAAGGGTGACGTCGCCGTCTTCCTCCGCCGTCAAACCGTTAACAGGGGTGTGTAGCTGTGCGCTATCGTCTACGGTAGACACATCCTGGGTCAAGGCGCGCCTTGCAGATAACATACGGCATTGTCCTCTCCTCTCTATAGAAGTTTTACGTCTTGACGTGACCAGAGAGTATAGGCACTCAGCGTCGTTCATTCTCCCTACTCCCTGCTCCGCCGGAGCCTTGATATTCTTAACAGCATCCGACGAAGAGCTGCTATTTCCGCGACTCAACGAATCTGAAGGGCCTCGCCCTCGATGCAACGGCCCTCGTCCGACTGTGCCACTCTTGGCATGCTGCAGCTGCTTCATAGCGTGAGCAGTGCTCAGTGGGTTCCGTGCCACTCTACGTTCTGCCCGCGAGTCTTGTCTGTTACACCTTCAGTGCTCGATAACTCGGATACTCCGATCTATAGCACGTTGACCTCCTCAGGCCAGTGTACGCGCCAATAGCGGTTGTACCTCCTAGCGGAGGAAGGCACATGACTCACCAAAGCTCCATCAGGAGACGTGCGGGTTGCGTCCAAGGTCTTCGACCTTCAATCGATCCATGGCTCATGGTGTTCCAACCATGTCATACCAAGGATGAGGTCATACCTTGAATCCAAGTCTAAGACTAAGCAGCGTTTTATGCTATCAAAGTCAGGAAACTTAACACCGACGACTCGGTACCGAGACACATATCCCCGTCGTTAAGCGAACAGTGTCGATGTCACTCATCCGCGCTTTCAGCACCTCAGCATACAGCTGATAATCTTCTATCGTGGAGCGTCGAGCATAATTGCCCGACGTCGCGGAGTCGATAAGGATCTTCTATGGCTTCTCAACACCCTTCACATCATTTTTAGGACGAGCAATGCCGGCTTGTATACATGTTCGGGGATCAAGAGCACGGAGCTCTTCAGGGCTGAGCCCTGCTGACTTCTGCCTCTATGAGGCTCAACAAAACTCAGTTATTTCCCAGTAGAGCGCCCTTAACCTACTGGGGGTTGTCGCTTCCCCGCGACAAACCAGATGATTGGTGAGAAGCGAAACGTCGATTCAATGAACTTTGATGCGCCTTGCGCAGGGGGACAACCAGTCCGAAGGTGACGGGTTTCTCCACAGACAAAACACCGTCAGGCGTTCGAACGCTGCTTGGCAGCTCGGGGCTCTACCAAAGCATAGCTGAGATCCATCGGCTCAGGCTCGCTCGACGAGCTGCTAGGGTGTGCTTTTTAGCCAGGTCATGCCGACTTAAAGTTGAATTCGGCTTTCAATGTCACATTCACCCCTTTTCAAACAGAGACGGGTGAACAAGACAGTAAGGATGCTCTCCATATAAACGGTATTGTGACCGCCTCGGGGAGAGGGTCAGATGCCATACTGGCAATGATGATACGCAGCGCTTGAACAAATTCCACCAATTCCTTCCTGCCATGTCGGGTGGTAGGGAAACGCGATTGCACGCGATATATCTAGTTGGGCGGCGAGAACACTTGTAAAAGTTGCAGCTTCAGCTCCGCCGAGGGAAACGTCGCTTCGACCGAAGTTCTGCACATTAGCGCCCATTCTTGCGTTCGACCCTCGAACTTAGAGATAGCTAGCGCCACGCGCTGTTCCTCGTTCTAGAGCATGGCGGATGTCATATCATTTCGGCATTTCTTTCCCAGAGCAGGAGACTATCTCTACCCTTACCCTCGAAGGTCTTAACGCTCACCACGAGCGGCCGGAGTCGTTTCGATACCGTCATGCTTGGAGTTTGACGGGTAGAACTCGCTCATCCATGTATAATTTCGCATAAGCAGTTTCAGAGAATCGGATGGGATTAATCCTTGTGTATGAACGTTCCTGGTTGGCATTCTCGACTTGGTGTGTAGCTCTACTGAGTTGTCTTCAAGTTACCATCTCGTGTTGGTCGCTTGGAGGTGAAGCTTGAGTAACGCTGTTATTCGAGCTCGCGTGTCGATATAATTCGAGACTCTGTCATGGAACCGAATCTCATTGCGATGCATCCATATGCAGCGGGTAACAATGGCTCGCACGAAGTTTAATACCACAAAGAGAGTAAAGCCCAATTTTTCTTAGGCTTCCTGGGTAAAATGGATTTTGGAGAAGTACACGAGTGTTCCCCAGGAAAGCTCGCTTACAAACTTCTTTGAAGAGGCTGAAGAAAAAAAGGGTCAATACCCGTGAGGCAAAGGGGCAAAGCCAAAACAGGTGCTGGGGGTCTCAAGGTGTTCACAGTCGAAATGGCAAGTTGTCTTGGCGTTTTGGATATGCTGGAACCGATAGCCTAAATACAAGGCGTTATTCTGGCGTCGAAAAAGAAAGGCAGCATAGAGTGGGAGGATGCTTGTTTAATTTTAGGTCTCGTTTCCAGAGGTCGAGTCCAGGGGCTTCCGAGATTCCTTATCGCTGTAATGGCAACGCAGGAGGCCTGAGAGATTTAAGCACGTTCCGGATGTTAGCAATTGTGAGGTCCTCTAGGGGGGTGCTCTTTAATAACCCAGTTATGGAAAGCAACTTCAATTACTTGACTTGGACGAGAACCTTGGGGTAAATGAAGGAGTACGCGAAGTGCAATATCACAGTCTACGAGAAAGTTCATGCAATATTGTGTGATATACGCGCTTGAGTCACCTGGACGTTGAATTGCTGTGGCAAGCGACGCCGGGGTAAGTGTATTACCACAGAGACCATATATACCTTCTGCCGTATAGAGCTGAAATTCTGCGAGTCTCTGTACGAGTGCCGAGGGTCTTGTAGCTTACGTGCGATCTTGGCTTCCATGTCGTATTATGGCGTTGTGCAATAACGGCATAGACAACAAGTCGAATTTGCTGGTATCTTGGGTCTCAACTTCATATGCCACACAAACAGCACCTGGTGATAGATACTGTTGAGAGCAGAGCAGCGATTTTCACGTCGAGTATTGGCGTGGTTGGGACTGGTAGTTACTCAAGCATATAGGATATCGAGAGGCCGACCCCTTGGCGTCATCGCCTGGTGAAAGACCTTAATAACAGGGGACATCCAACTGGGAAGTGAGTGATGGTATTTTCGCACACTGTTAATCACACGTACAAGTGCATGTATTTGTAGTGCGTTCACAGAGTCCTCGATTTGTGTGAGACCGAGACCTCCTTGGTATCTTGGAGTGTACCACCAGTCTTTGGCCAGGATGGCTGATAATCTGGAGCTAGGAGTGCTTGAGTCACTTAGAAAGGTCGCAATAACACTTTTGATTTGATCTTGGAACCTGATTGCGGGATGTGACATACAACTGGCTGTGTACCAGAGCGTGGGTAACATAATTTGCTGAAGCAACGCCACTTTGCCGTTTAAAGTCCTTGCGCGCTGTTTCCACACTGTACACCGGTGCTGGATATTGGCAATGAGATGGTGCAGCCGATCCGTATTGGAGAGTCGCGATCCATAACGAATACCGAGAAGCTTGGCTTCATTAGTATTGTCAGTGACTGTACCCCGAGTTGTTGCAGCTGGGCATGGAGTACTTGATCTCCATCTGTCCATTCTCGGATAGTGTGTTCAGCTTCATACTCACCGCCGAGCAATACCTTTGGACACGTAGAAACTGAGGAACAACAGAGAGATCATTGAGAAGTCCTGTACAGTCATCTGCGAAGCTGACAAATGTATGGGATTCCTCTGAAGCTGGTAGCTTGAGACCGTGGGACTTGAGCTGGATTCAACGTTAGTTCAGTAGTGGTTCAATGTAGAGTACAAATAACGTCGGCGAGAGTGGATCACCTTGCCGAATTCCTGCACTCAGTGCGAAATGAGGCAATGGAGCACCATTGAAGAGAATCGATACAATAGTGCTTCGAGTCATTACTCGAATCCATTTCCGGAAATTGGGACCAAACCCAAAGTGTCTCAGTATCATCTTGAGTGCATCCCACACAACACTGTCAAAGGCTTTGGCAAAGTCAATTAGGATTTCTCCTGCCATTTTTTGATTGCCTCGGAAAAAGTGTTGGAGAGATTGGAACCGGAGATGCGCAGTACGAATATCACGTCCTGGGACAAAGCCATATTAGTCTGTATAGAGCAACTTGGGTAAAATTGACTGTAGACTTCTAGATAAGATTTTTGGTCCGAGCTTGGCGTCAATATCCAATAGTGTGATTGGCCGATAGTTACTGCGTACATGTCGGTCACCGCTCTTGTATAGGAGCGAGATCTGTCCTCTTCTCTGGAACTAGGTTATTCTGCCGAGTTGGAATTGAGACGAGTATACCACTTCCAGTATCATTCTCTAAAGATGGATATCCACCAGGTAGTACGCAAGCGGGAGGCCATCTGGACCTGAGGCCTTGCTGGGTGGGGTGTGTTTCAGTGTATAGTAGAAGTCGTTCGCAGCGAAAGGACTATCTAGCATGTGCTGGTCTTCTTCTTTGATTGTGCTGGAGGATTCTTCATAGCTTGAGTGGGTTCCACTTTGGCCTTGGATGGGAGTACTCGCGAGATGGCGAGCAATAGATACCACTCCAGTACTTCTTAATTTTTTTGCACACAGAATTCAAGTCTTCTGCCGATTGTACTGGGATAGTGGTCCTATGCAGGAGCGTTCGAGGTTTAAGAAAATACTTGGTTCATTTTTCTGTCTGGTACAGGTCAGAAGCAAATTTTTGTCTGGATTTGTGGTGATCTTCTTCTTCAATATGTGCTCGTAGGTTTGCTGGAGCGAGCTCAGGGCTGTTGATACTTCATCAAACGGGTTGAGATGCTGAAGGTGTTGAAGTTGATTGATGCGCAGGTGTATATCTTCTTTCTCGATTTGCTGTTTGTTCTTCTTATCGTTTAATAGCTGGTGTATGTAGATGCAGTCTTGGCGCTTGTGTTCGTCGAGCAGGTATCCTGGATTGTATGTCGATTTAACAATCGGGGCAATTGATTCTGCAGGGACAACTTCAGGTATTCTTGGGCTTCGGGTAGTTCGATGACGCATCTCCACTTTGCTCTTGTTCTTGGCTTGAATAGTGCGGAACCGAGGGTGAACTCGATTCTGCAGTGGTTGCCCCGTAACAGAGCGGACGGAGTAACAGCAGCTTGAGCTTGGGCAATTGCCCGCCAACCCAAGCCAAGTGAACAATCACAATGGTACAACGGCACTAATGTACCTATTACGGCAGTTACAGTGCTGGCCA